AACCTTAAGTCGTGATAGAGCCAATAAGTAACATTTAACATAAAATATATAATTAATTTCACTTTTGGTCCTACGAGTTTTATGTCAATTTCTCATTTAGTTCACGTCTTTCACTTTGTCCATTTTTGGTACTTCACTAATGTTTTTTAACCGTTGTGGTTCTTTTCCGGCGATTTAACTATCAAAAATATCACCGAATGGCCATATATAGACGAAAATACAATAGTCATGTATCAAAAGTGGACAAAATGAAAAATGTGTACTAAATTTGGAATTGACCTAAAGCTCGTAAGACCAAAAGTGGAATTTATTCTAAAAGATATGAAGTATTTGTGTACTCGTAAAATTCACAAAAACAGTGAACATGTGGTATTAATTTAACATTCTAAAGTATAAATAGTTTAGACAAAAATAAATATTTTTCAGGAGGACACAATTGAAATAATGAAATGTGCCCATTAATTTTTTAGAAAAATGTAATTGGATAGACATTAATTATACCACAAAGTTTTTAAGAATGAGAAGGTATCCAAACACTCCAAGCAATTAAGAAAACAAAAAGGTCATAGTTGACCATACATTACATAATATTGATGCGCCAAGTAATTCTTTGGGTGGCGGGTCCATTCCATTTAAATAAGGGAGCTTCTACCATACATACAAAAAATGAGTGTTTTGGTACATTCCTTTTTAAACCAATCAGATAAGGGAATAAGACTCTAATAGGACTTAAACATAAGCTCTGTACTTAAATACGACTAACTACTTTTATATACTTAAATAGGACTAAAAATTGATCACTGGGACAAAAATACCCTTCATTAATACGGAGCATAGTACGTGTGTGGTATGAAATTAAAGAAGCTGTATTGTTTTTACTTTTAATTCATTCACAATTGCATTACTCGATTCATCCATGAGAGCATCTCCATTCATGATCTCTAATAATCAATTTTTTCTATGACTCTTACCTTTTAAATACTGTTATATAATTAATGTTTAAATAATCTCAATATTCGTTTATGTATCCCAACCATCATCTTCAAATAATCCGATTTTTTTTGTTCTTGCATTAACTTCTATTACATATACTTTTTACATAATCTTAAAATAATCTGGATTCATATTTTGATCCCGGATTATTATAGCAAATAATCTCATTAAATAAATTATGCCTCTCAATGGTGCTCCTTTAAAAAATCTGCCACACCACTTACTTAATCTCTTAATAATCCTACCAATGGGGATGTCCTGAGTAGCTATCAATTCCATAGACCGACTACCGCTGGGAGCTGCCGCAACCGCCGCTGGGAACCGCCATCTGCCGCCGAGAGATGTCGATTGCCAACTGCCGTCCACTACTGAAACTGCGGAGAACCCTTCTAGGGCCTTACTGATGCAGCGGACAAAGTTACTCTTCGGATAAAAAAACGCAGCGCTTTAAGCTTTCTTACATATTGGATATTTGGATGGGCGGTGTTTGTTAGGTTAAGCATCGTGATTCTGAGCCGGAGATGTTGCTGGCCATATTCAATTTCCGAATATAGTTCGGACTTCCGACTCTCAGTGCCTTAGTGGTCTTTGCCTTGCTATGAGTGTTCTACGTTTTTTTTTAATTTGGGGGTGTTTGACTTTTCAACTTCTACCAAGTTACAGGGTTGATATTGCTTTGTTTATTTTTTGCTTTATTTTGTAAATTCATTTAATTAAATTAATTTTTGGAAAGTATTTCATTATTGATTTTGAAAAAGTAATATTTCATTTATTGCTGCACTTTTAGCAATTTATTAAATCACAATGTAGAATGACACTGTAATGATGAAAATGTGAATTACTCGTACAATGTCATAAGAATGTCAATTACAAAGTCATCAAAAATGTCAATAGAAAACAATGTTAGTGACATTGTCATAAGAATGTCAATGACAAAGTCATAAGAATGTCAATACAAAACAATGTCATTGACAATGTCATAAGAATGTCAATGACAATGTCAAAAGAATGTCAATGACAATGTCAAAAGAATGTCAATGACAATGTCATAAAAATGCCAATAGAAAACAATGTCAATAACAGTGTCATAAGAATGTCAATTACAATGTCATAAAAATGGCAATAACAATGTCATAAAAATGTCAATCACTAGCTATGACAATCACTTTATTAAAATCATTGATCAACAATAATGTATTAATAATTTAATATCAATATCAACACTTTAATGGCTTCATCAAAGGCCTGTTTTCCAAGACTACAAGCACGGTCAGGGGAGTTCAAAATCTCATAATAAAACACAGAGAAGTTTAGAGCCAATCCGAAACGGTTAGGATGTCTTGGTGCAAGTTCTGCATTCGCGATGTCTTGGGCAGATTTGTAGGCCGTGAGAGTGCTTTCCGCGGCCACCTTTCGCTCAGCGCTTGTCTTGAACTCAACGAGGTAGCGGTGGTAGTCTCCCTTCATTTTGGGGTAGAAGACCTTGGAATCACCGGTGGAGGCGGACGGGATGAGTTTGGACTCTAGAAGCTTCAGGATGCCGTCACAGATTTTAGAGAGTTCAGTCTCGATCTTAGGTCTGTAGTCGTGAACCAACGACGAAGAAATAAAGAAAAGGGAAGAAGGAGAGGCGGAGGAGAAAAGAGGGGGTAAATTTGGAACACTGAAAAAAATTAGTCCTATTTAGAAGTAAAAAAAGTCAACAAATTATATTTTAAAAATATTATAAAATGTCAACGAATTGTGTGCTCTGTATATTATCATTGCCTAGCTTTCGATTCCCCTCTGACCTTAGTGGTCCTTGACATTACATTTACATTATATTATCAAAGTTTATTACATTAATGTCATAATTTCAAATGAATCGGCAATGACAATGTCAACAATGAAAAAATAGCAGTGTAAAAATGACAATGTCAATAATTTAAAAAATGACATTGTAATAATGACAATGTCAATAATTTAAAAAATGACATTGTAATAATGACAATGTCAATATCAATGTTATAAAAATGACATTGTGACATTGTCAAGAAATGACATTGTTTTTCGATGATGACAATGCGAAATGGACATTGTTATATAAAAATGTCAATGCTATATAAATGACATTTTAATGACTAATGATTAGAAATGTCACAATATCAATATAATGGCAAGACATTGAGATATTAACATTGTGACATTGTCAAGAAGTGTTATTGTGTTCTTTGATGACATTGAAATATTGTGACATACTCATGTACTGTCATTGTAAAAAAATTGACAAAGTCTGAAAACTATCATAATGTACGTCACAATATCTGAAAAAGTATTACAATGTCATGACAATGTCAACGAAATAGTTACAAATTCTACAACATCACTTTCATTGGCACTATAAAACTATGTCATAATATTAAAAAATGTGATAATGCTGAAAAATATGTTACAAACATTGAAATTAGTAATAACCATGACATTTGAATAAAATAAAACAAAAGTGAAAATCTAAATCTAAATCTAGATCAACATTAAAAGCATAAATCCGTAAATCACTAAAATGAATCAAAGAAATACAGTGATAAAAAATTATGACAATGTCATAATCAATATCATTATTTTAGAATATTGTAATGTTAGAAATAATATCAATAATATGTGAGTATAACAATACTTTAACATTCACAAAAAAAAATATTTTTAAAATAAACCATGCATAGTATTGTAAATATTGTCAAAATATAGAAAAAATGTCATGGTTTTGAAAGTGATACAATGTCAAATAATGACAATGTCAATATTACATATTATGACATTGTAATAATGGCAATGTCATAAAAAGTCAATGACGATGTTATAAGAATGTCAATAAAAAACAACGTCAATGACAAAGTGATAAGAATGTCAATGACAATGTCATAAGAATGTCAATAAAAAACAATGTTAATGACAATGTCATAAGAATGTCAATGAAAATATCATAAAAATGTCAATGACAATTAATATGAAAATGACAATAAAATAGACATTCCCATTTGCCTTGAAAGTCACAAACGGTCAGTTTGTTATCTGCTCTAGCATGTGGATGAGATAAGGTCTCATAGCTACCCAAATGAAAACCTGAACGGAAGTTGGAAGGGTTGAAATGAGTAGCTTGAGATCGAGTCGATGATAATGCCAGAATATTAACTCATTGCCAAATAAAAGTTTGAATGTTACAAATTCATTCATTCATTGTTGAAAATTAATGCCATTGTCTAGTGCTCTAAAACAACAACAATCAAATACTCCGTAGCAGATAAAAATCAAAAAATACGGTACATAATTGCAGGAATATAATAAAAGAAATAAAATTACTTAAATTTCAACTTACATGAAACAAAATAGGAAACCATCAAATGTGAACAGTCAATTTGAAATTTGAATAACGGAATACTGAGTAAGCAATAAGAAAAGAAAAATAAAAGAAAGGCGATGCACTGTCTATTTCATTGTGCCGCCGCCGATCGATCACAGATCCACAGAAGGATCAATTGTAGGTCCCTAAAGAAGAAGAAGATTCCCAATCGGAGATTGTAGGTCTGCAAATCTATCGCACCTTCGGCCGTAGCTCGTCGCTGCGGTGTCTATTTCGTTATGCCGCCGCCGTCAGGTGTTTTCTCACATCTGTAGCGCCGCTAAGTATGCCTCAGCTCCTCCATCCAGTCCGTCAGTCTTCCAGCAATGAGGTGGGTTACTTGGGGTGTGTCGAGAAGAGAGAGAGAATGTAAGGACCCGATGAAGAAATTGGCCGGAAAGAAATAAAAGGGTAGAAAGGTCTGAACACATCTAATACATAGTATATCCTATTTAGGGATTAAAAAGAAGTAGGTCCTATTTAGTTACATCAGCTTATTTTTAGTCCTATCTACGACCATTTCTCATCAGATAAATGAGAATTCCACATCAGATCAACTTCTATTAACACGTCAAAGCACATTTAATTTCAATATTTGCAAATCCCTCCTCCATCTTCAAAGTCCGTAGACGGTAGACCAAACGGCTGCCGTTACCAACCGCAGAAAGCAAAAACCATCGACGAAGAACTCCCCAAATTAAGGAGGAAGAAGAACCTGTGGCACGGGTCTTGGTCTACTTTCACATGATTCTCAATACGCTACACCATCGATCATTCCAGCTAGCCACTCATAGAAGGATTTAGGATAAGTTGTTGCACGTGTAGTCTCTGAGGAAACCAATTCACTTGAGTGAGACAGAGGAGTGTAAATAACCTGTGGCGCAAATAACCTGTGGCGCCCAATTATGGAAGACCCTACGCCGCTCAACGAAGAACCAGCAACGTCCAAACAAATTACATACTCCGGCGAGAACTCAGAGGCAATAAACACACTCGAAATCCTTATTTCTTAGACTATGCCTTGTTTTGATGTTCATATTATGATTATGATTGAATTGAGTTGAGTAATTAATTAACTTTTTGTTCTTTCTACATTGGTTCAAGGGCTAACTTTGAATTTAGTTACACTAGTGTTGCATCGTAGAAGTTGTTAGTGTATACTACAGTCGAGGCTTTGGAGAATTGCATTTATGTTGATATTGATTTTAGTATTTTACTGAATCACATTGACATTAAGACTGGTAGTAGCACAAAGTTGAAAGTAGAAACCTCCTTAAGTTTCCCTCACTTTAATTCAAAAGTGTCCATTTTATGTGATGTCACAGTTTAAACAATACATCTCAACAAGTAAGAAGCTTTTGCCTTTGTGGCTGTCCGAGTGGATGATTAAATCCTTTAGGAAAGGTACTTTGAATTTATACCACAAGAGACATGTTCCTATCATATTTGTTTTAGGCTTCTCGTAAACAATGTCAAAGACTGGCATGTTTGGTTTAGGTAAGTTGTCATCAAACCTTACCTTTGTTTTAGGCTTCTCGTAAACATGTTCCTATCATGGGCACTATTCCTTTTTAATGATATTACCATCAGGGCCTTGTTTCTGCAATTCTTTCATGGTCAAGTGTTGCTTAATTTGCATGGAAAAGACCGAGAAAATTACCAAAATACGGGAATCTCCCGTCTGACAAGCCAAAATACGGGAGTTCCTTTTAGGTTACCAAATTACGGTAGTCGGAATTGGCAATTCCGACTGGAGGGGAAGTCCGAAATTAGGGTTGAACCCTAGTCGGAATTGGGCAATCCGACTAGAGGTAAGTGCCAATTTAATTAAAAAAACCTAGTCGGAATTGGGGAATCCGACTAGGGTATTTTTGATTTTTTTTTTAAACAATGCGTAAAGCGGATAAAATTTATTAAAAACCTAGTCGGAATTGGGAAATCCGACTAGGGTATTTTGATATTTTTTTAAAAAAATGACGTGTTTAATTGTGGTTCGAACATTTTACCAACCAACTCGTTTTATTTTCATTTTATTGTTTGCACTACGTGTTTTATCTGTATTCATTTATTCTACCAACTGCATTTATATGGTCACCGTACGTACCCCAACAGCTCCTATAAAATGAGTTCATTTCTTTTCAAAATTTTCACTCCAAAAATAATCCTTCTTTCTCTCTTGATATATTTATTACATTTTCTGTTTAGGCATTCTTCTCTCATATAAAAATGTCTAGTGAGGGAAATATTGTTGTTATGGTTCATTGGAATGGCTCTACATCTCAAAAAGATGATGAAATAGAGTACTCCATACCTCCTAGGGCGGTACTATTCATTAGTGAAGCAGATGATTATACTACTATACATGAGAATGTTCTAAATCATGTAAGAGGCGACGGATTTTCCGAAATTAAATTAATTTACGGAAAATTGCCAAAATATAAGAATTCTGTATATGTTGCTTCTAGACTATGGCCCATTCACGATGAGCAGACATGGCGTCATTTTTTCCGGATCGCTAAAAATGAGTATGAGGAGTTGCACATTTACGTGGAAGCTTCAGCGACCCCGCCACAAACTTTGACGTTCCACGGAACTCCCAGAGAGGAAGGCCCATCATCCGTATATGGTCGGAGGAACAACCGCCAAATGTTTCAGAACTACGAATCTCCTGGTATGTGTTGTTCAAGTTAAATAGAATTTACAATGATTTGGTTTTATTTGTTGTCATTTTAAGAGTGTAGAAGTAGTTAATTTAGTAATTTGTAAATTTTTTAATTTTGATTGTTAAATAGGAATTTCAGAGTAAAAATTGGCTATCTGTCTGTCTCATCTGCACAAATTCAATACTTCTATCTAATTACACAAGAAACACATTCTAGTTCAAATAAATGAAATAACCGGAAGTGGAAGTGGAATTTAAAAAAAAATTAAAATTTTATCTCCTGTCGGAATACCCAAATCCGACGAGAGCACAAAAAGTTTTTATTATTCAAATAAACTTAAAATTTGTATACAGCGCATAAAATTTCAAAACTCCTGTCGGAACACCCAAATCCGACCAGAGCGCAAAAAGATTTTATACTTCAAATAACTTAAAAATTTTATTTGAGAGTGTAGAAGTAGTTAATTTAGTAATTTGTAAATTTTTTAATTTTGATTGTTAAATAGGAATTTCAGAGTAAAAATTGACTATGTGTCTGTCTCATCTGCACAAATTCAATACTTCTATCTAATTACACAAGAAACACATTCTAGTTCAAATAAATGAAATAACCGGAAGTGGAAGTGGAATTTTAAAAAAAATTAAAATTTTATCTTCTGTCGGAACACCCAAATCCGACGAGAGCACAAAAAAATTTTATTATTCAAATAAACTTAAAATTTGCATGCAGCGCATAAAATTTCAAAACTCCTGTCGGAACACCCAAATCCGACCAGAGCACAAAAAGATTTTATACTTCAAATAACTTAAAAATTTTATATATTCCGATAAATTAAAACCAAAAAATTCAAACCATAATTTTATTTTATTTTAGATAGTGTGTTACAAGGAATTGTGTTCAATTCTAGAAATTCAAGAATTGTGTTAAATTAATAATTTGTCCCAAATAATAATATTGAAATTTATGAATGTATCTACTTTGTACAGTCACAAACTTGGGTGAAGAGTCGGACGACCCAGACTATGAACAAGGTTTTAGTAGTGATGTTGATTCATCCACGAGCGATGATAGTGACGACGTAGTAGACACCACCTGGGCTAATGTGGAGCTAGAAGAACCATATGTTCAAGCATTAGATTCTGAGCCTGAAAGGATCGAAGTAGGCGCAGTTTACTGTTCATATGATGCACTGAAAGAAGCGGTGGCGAGAGAAAACATTCGTCAATTTCGTCAATTCAGAACGATTGACAAAAGGCCACGGTCCTGGAAGGCGGTTTGCATAGACCCGACCCTTTGCACTTGGCATATCCAAGCAGGAGAAGGTATGACGTCAAAAAAGTGGAAAGTAAAAAATATCAATCCCATCACAGTTGTAGGGAGGATCCTGTCATGGCTCGGGATGACAGGCTCCTAACGGCCAAAATTATAGCCAGTGAAATCGCTCCAAAAGTGAAAGTCGACCCGGACTACAGCATTAAACTGATAATGTCAGACATATATGAAAAAATTAATATCCGTGTTTCATATAAAAAAGCTTGGAATGGACGCTTGATCGCTCTGGAGCGTAAATTCGGCAATTGGGAGGCATCATATAATGAACTTCCTATGTTGTTGGAATCTATACAGTTTTCAAATCCGGGGACTGTTGTTCATTTGCAATCACAACAGGCCGGCACTCCTGATACGTCTGAATTCCGCCGAGTGTTCTGGTCATTCAAGGCTTCTATAGACGGTTTTAGATTTTGCTTACCCGTAGTCTCGGTTGATGGCACTCACTTATATGACAAATACAAGGGAGTTCTTCTAGTTGCGGTAGCCATGAATGCTAACCGTGACATATTTCCTCTTGCATATGCTGTTGTTGAGAGTGAGAATGCTGACAGCTGGTCGTGGTTCTTTGCAAGGGTTATGCGTGATGTGGTTGGAAATCACCGTAGTGTGTGCATTATCTCTGATTGTCATGCAGGAATTGAAAGTGCATTTAGAGCCTTGCGAGAGTTGAGATCGCCACAAGTTTCAAAGCGTTATTGCCTCCGTCACATACGGAGTAATTTCACGACCAAGTTTAGGAACGCGGAACTGAAAAAATTATGTTGGCAAGCTGGTAGCACTCCCACAGAACAGGAATTTCACGACTGTATGCAACAAATACGAGACATAAATGAGAGTGCTTTTCTATATTTGAATGAGATTCCTGTTGAGATGTGGGCCCTGAGCTATGACGATGGCAAAAGATATGGCATTTTGACGACAAACCTTTCTGAAAGTTTTAACAATGTCTTAAAGGGATGCCGCACATTGCCTATCACAGCACTAGTAAAGGCCACATTCGATAAAGTCGTCCAACTATTTGCCGATCGACGAAATGCGGGAATAATGTGGCACCAAGCTGGATTCTTGTATCCACAGAACATATGGAAGGATGTTCTTGAGCGGTCACAGCGTAGGTATCACACAACTATTGTCCCGCACAATCGAACAACGGGAATTTACTCTGTAGCTATTGGTTCGCATGATCCAGTGACAATCGATCTGACAAGGCAGGAATGTGGGTGTGAGTATTGGAAGCAGAACGGGATGCCATGTGTTCACGCGTATGCGGTTTGTCGGTTTTTAAAAATAACCGTAGACAACCTCATCCCAGCTGTGTATTCCTTAAATGCTTACATCCGAACGTACGCTTCCGATATTATGCCTATTAATAATTACCTCAATTTCATGGCAGAAACATCGCATACACTTCTCCCGCCCCCAAACAATAGATCGGCTAGAGCCGGTAGGCCACAGAGAACTCGATTTCCTAATGAAATGGATTTGCGTGCTACAAGGAGAGGACATGAGTAATATTGTAATGTATACCTTGTTGGGTTTTTTGAACTAATGAAATATTTGTTCTCTTTGTTGTAGTTATTGAATTTTTTTAGTTTGCACAACAACTATAATTAGATAAAGTTTAATCAGATAACTATAATCAGATAAGTTTAGTCAAATAAAATTTAATCAGATAAATATAATCAGATAAATTTAATTACATAAAATGTAATCATATATATATAATCAGATGAGTTCAATCAGATAAAATTTAATGAGATAAATATAATCAGATAAGTTCAATTAGATAAAATTTAATCAGATAAATATAATCAGATAAGTTCAATCAGATCAAAATTAGATAATTCCATATTTATTCCACATTGCTTATCTGATCAAACCTCACTCGCACTACAAATGGAGTCAGGATCAAGACATGGGCGGTAATTATACTTCGCAAATATTATTTAAATTTTTTTAAAATAAAAATAGTAATAAAATTTATGAAAACTTAGTTCCTAAATTGATTGTTTTCGATCATTCGGGTCCTAGATCCATAGTTTTCCAAAATTCTTTAATTAATTCATTTAGTAATGATGATAAAAAAATTCATTTAATAACATATTAAAAAAGCTAACCAGTACGTACTAATGTACTATAATTAGATAAAGTTTAATCAGATAACTATAATCAGATAAGTTCAGTCAAATAAAATTTAATCAGATAAATATAAATAGATAAATTTAATTAAATAAAATGTAATCATATATATATAATCAGATGAGTTCAATCAGATAAAATTTAATGAGATAAATATAATCAGATAAGTTCAATTAGATAAAATTTAATCAGATAAATATAATCAGATAAGTTCAATCAGATCAAAATTAGATAATTCCATATTTATTCCACATTGCTTATCTGATCAAACCTCACTCGCACTACAAATGGAGTCAGGATCAAGACATGGGCGGTAATTATACTTCGCAAATATTATTTAAATTTTTTTAAAATAAAAATAGTAATAAAATTTATGAAAACTTAGTTCCTTAATTGATTGTTTTCGATCATTCGGGTCCTAGATCCATAGTTTTCCAAAATTCTTTAATTAATTCATTTAGTAATGATGATAAAAAAATTCATTTAATAACATATTAAAAAAGCTAACCAGTACGTACTAATGTACTATAATTAGATAAAGTTTAATCAGATAACTATAATCAGATAAGTTCAGTCAAATAAAATTTAATCAGATAAATATAATCAGATAAATTTAATTACATAAAATGTAATCATATATATATAATCAGATGAGTTCAATCAGATAAAATTTAATGAGATAAATATAATCAGATAAGTTCAATTAGATAAATTTAATCAGATAAATATAATCAGATAAGTTCAATCAGATCAAAATTAGATAATTCCATATTTATTCCACATTTGTACAAAAAATAAACTCTAAACCACCAAAGAAACACAATAAGGGCTTGGATCTCTATCGCACGGCTGTTATCAAAAGAGGAGGGGCTTGGATCGTAATCGGAGGGCGGTAAACTGATACCTCCAGTCGGATTTTGGGCTTCCGACAACAATAAAATTTTTAAAAAATTGTTTTAGCTGATAAAGTTAGCTACACGGTACAAGGAAAAAGGTAAATGTGGAAGAAGTTTGGACCACTTTTAGATAAAAGTTAGGTACTATCACACGGACCAAGAACTTTATTTCTTTGTGGAAGAAGTGTGGACCACTAATTACAACACCAACTTTTATTTAATGAATCAAGAACTCCCAACTAATTTGTTTTTATATAAATAGAGCAAGAGCCTAGCCAGTTGGATCAAGAATCCCCACTTAATCCCAAGCAAGAGCACCTACTAGCAAATCAAAATTTGTGATCTGCCAAATTTCCAGGTTAGTTAATTTTCGGTTTTAGAAGTGTAGAAGTAGTTAATTTAGTAATTTATAATTTTTTTAATTTAGATTGTGAAATTGGACTTTTAGAGTAACATTTAGCTATAAAATACTTGAAAGTTAGAAAGTGTGTAACATTTAGAATTTCCCTTAAATTTCGGTTTTAGGAATGTAGAAGTAGTTAATTTAGTAATTTGTAAATTTTTTAATTTACATTGTGAAATTCGAATTTTACTCTTTAATTTTAACTTTTTATTATTTATAATAGTTGAAATTGTAGATGTTTAGAAATTGCGTTAAATTTAAATAGTCGAATTTAAGATTTTAATTTCGCAATTATAGTTATTTCGAATTTCAAAATTACTAGTTATTTTGGTAACTTTTAAGATTTTAATTTAGATTGTGAATTTAGAATTTTACTCTACATTGTGAAATCGAAAGTTTAGAGTTGTACTTAGCTATGAGAGGTATGTAGTACTCTAGATAATCATCTGCTTCACTAACCCAAGCAAGAGCACCTACTAGCAAATCAAAATTTGTGATCTGCCAAATTTCCAGGTTAGTTAATTTTCGGTTTTAGAAGTGTAGAAGTAGTTAATTTAGTAATTTATAAATTTTTTAATTTAGATTGTGAAATTGGACTTTTAGAGTAACATTTAGCTATAAAATACTTGAAAGTTAGAAAGTGTGTAACATTTAGAATTTCCCTTAAATTTCGGTTTTAGGAGTGTAGAAGTAGTTAATTTAGTAATTTGTAAATTTTTTAATTTACATTGTGAAATTCAAATTTTACTCTTTAATTTAAATAGTCGAATTTAAGATTTTAATTTCGCAATTATAGTTATTTCGAATTTCAAAATTACTAGTTATTTTGGTAACTTTTAAGATTTTAATTTAGTTTGTGAATTTAGAATTTTACTCTACATTGTGAAATCGGAAGTTTAGAGTTGTGCTTAGCTATAAAAATCTAGAAATTTAGAAATTGTGTTACATTTAGAATTTGAGTTAAAATTCGATTTTATGACGTTACAAGTTGTTACTTTAGTAATTTTTTATTTTTTTGTGTTAGGTTGTGAAATTAGAATTTTAGAGTTCAATTTAGCTATAAATATCTACAAATTTAAAAATTGTGTTACATTTAGAATTTGTGTTAAATTTCGAATTTAGTAATTTATAACTACTTATTTTAGGAATTTCAAATGGAGCAAAACATTCCGCGCCCAGGGCCTGTTAACCGTTCACTACTCACGTTGCCACTGCGTGCCCATCGTGCGGACCGTATATGGTATGAACCGAATTCCAAAGACTCGTGCTTGAAATGCGTCAGTTGCCCTTCAGCTGCATTCGGAGTTGAAGAGCGAGATCCAAGAGTGATAGGTATGTTAGCATATGCTGGCTTCTTGGGGGTAGAGCACATTGCCCGTATGAAGGTGGATCATAGTTTAATATGCGCTTTGGTGGAGAGATGGAGGCCGGAGACACATACTTTCCATCTACCATTCGGTGAGGTCGGCATTAGTCTACAAGATGTGGCGATGATCCTTGGTTTGCCCATTCGGGGTATGCCCCTCAGTGGTCCAACCGTTAAGGGTAAGGCTCAGTGGATCGACCTGTGCACGCAGTCGTGTGGTTTCACTCCTCTAGAGACTGATATGCGCACGGGGTGATATCACCATGAGTGCTCTTACCCGTCACCAGATCCTACATGACAGTACAGACGAAGAGGTCACCGAACACACCAGAACCCTAATATGGCAATTGCTTGGAGGCCTTTTGTTCCCTGACACGAGTGAGACAAGAATACGATTATACTTTTTGGAGGTCTTGCAGGGTAACTTGGCTTTAGCCCGTCGATGGAGTTGGGGATCAGCGGTTCTCGGGTACCTCTACCATAACTTGTGCAACGGCGCCAAGTGGGAAACCAAACAAGTTGGCGGTTGTATGCACTTGTTACAGATTTGGGCTTGGTCGAGGATTTCGATGGTCCGTCCCTCAGTAGTTCAGGTCATTCAACATGACCATCTTCCATATGGGTGCAGGTATGTTGACAATTACATCTTAATAATTGAGAATGCGTTATATGACGTTAGAGTTTTTAAATTCATTTCGGTAATAAATAAATGTAGGTGGATCGTGCCCAAGTCATATAAGGGATCCCCAAGACACTGCATACGCCTGTACCGGGATGACCTAGACCGAATGAGTGAGAGTCAGGTAGTACTTCAAATTTTTACTTCCACCGTACTATTCAATTTTTAATACACATTGTTTTATAGTGGTTAAATTGCAAATTAAAATTTTTACAGTTTGATTTCACTCCCTACGCGTTCGAGGAACTCCCACCTATCATCCTTAATGACGCTCCGCTTTGGTCGGCTAGGGTCATGCTCATATTTTGCAATATGGCCGAAATGCATTACCCCGATCGATTTCTTCGGCAGTTCCATATAAGGCAAGATACTCCGGATGCTCCTTTGGCGGGTACTGATCATCACGGCAATCGTTCCAACATAGTAACCGGTGCCTTGGCGTTGTGGGCGGACATACAACATAATATATACTTTCTTGATTATGATCGACATATGTCCGTCGAAGCAACTAAGAGGTACCGAAAATGGTACCAGAAGCATGGTATGACACGTGTCCAGAACCCTTCTCACAATGTGCCCACGACAGGCTACATCCCGACATCACACGATTGGGGTATTGTGGTAAGTTTTTGAATACATACTATATTCATTAACATATATCATGTCATATTATTTACACGTGTTACATTTTTATGCAGAGGCAGGGCTTTTACGAGCTGAATCAGCTCTTAGCCGACCGCGCAAGTCATGAGGACTGTCAAAAACGACTACAGCGGATGGCCCTGGACGTAGGCGATGAAGAGATGCTCCGCCGGGGCATATTCCATTATGAAGATGAAGATGAAGATGAAAGTGGAAGTGATGAAGAGGATGATGCAGATGAACACGAAGGTGGGGGTGAGCACTCACAATCGCCCCCTCAATTTTCAACACGTGAGGGTGTCTCATTTGATCAACCACCCCCTCAATTCTCAACGCATCAAGGTGTCTCATTTGATCAACCACCGCCGTATTATGATTCTTATCAGTACTCCACACAAGCGGTTGATTATGTTGATTCATTTCTGGATTCGTCGTCGTTTTACTATGGAGACACAATGGGCCTTGGAACACTAGCGGTGGGGACGGAGCAGGACCGAGCACGCAACGTTAGATGTAGTAGTATCATTAAATTTATATTATTGTATGTACTATCTATTTATTAATAAATTACATTGAAACCTACATTTGTTTTGTTCACTTTCATTAAATTTACAAATCGCATTTAAACCAAATTCAAATTTGTATCTCATTTTATGAATTTTATTCACAATACAAATGGATTTAAAAAAATAAAATTAAAAACTATAACTTTAGGCCAATTTAAAAATAAAATTGGCGACTAATTAAAAAAAGAGAAATTCGACCAATTTAAAAATTTAAACATGAATGAAATTGGCCAATTTAGTTTAAAACTTTAGTTGGAAATTAAAAACTTTAAATTAAAAAATAATATAAAGCAATCAAATGTTTTGTTACTCAAAAAACGAAAATGCTAAGTTTTCATTTTAAAAAATATGTCATGAATCTTAAAAAACTTTAAAATTTGGAATGGATAGAATTTAACCCTAGAATTTAAAACTTTTAGTTTTTAAAACTTAAAATAAAAAAATTTACGAATTACGAATTAAAATAAAAAATTTACCAAAAAAACAAAAAAAAAACCCTAGTCGGAATTCACCAATCCGACAGGAGGTTAAGTCTTTTTTTTGAAACCCTCCTGTAGTCGGAATTGGGTGTTCCGACTCCCCCTATTTGGTAAAACCTAGATAAATCCCCGTATTTTGGCAACCAATCTCCCCCTTTCCCGTATATTGGTAAAACACCCGAAAAGACTTGCATATTCTTCTGAAAAATAATGGTTGAAATTATGATAAAAGATTTACCTCTTTATACTGTGTGACCTGCTATTATAATGATGAGAACCTTTTCTACTCTTGTCCCCCTCAGCATGATTCTTTATAGATGGGGAGATCAAATATGATTTACGCGGAAGAAGTGAGAGCAGAAACCCAGGTGTTCCATTTGATCACAAGTAGTTATTTGGGAACTGCTATGGATGGAAAGAGTTGAAGTAACGAAGCAGAATCGCAGGTGTTCCAGTTGAACTGCTATTGACGGAACATTTTTATTTTTCTCAGCTTTCTCATTTTGGGAGGACTAATCTTCAAAAAAATAAATTGGATGATTAGGATGTGAGGTGACATTGTGGTATGATCTGATTGATTTAAAAAGTGAATGTACCGGTACATGCTATATTAAGTGATGTACCATAGAATTTTCCTTTAAATATTAGTGAAGTGAATTAAATATGAAAAAAAAGAAAGTTACTTAAAAAAATTGATATGCTTTTAACGTCCATATTTATGCTTTGAAAATGATATGCTTTTACAATTCAAGATAAGATAGGCCAAAGGTAAAGGGGAGAAGCTGTGAGGGTGTAGAAGGTGGGGGAATAGATATTCACGTGTGTCGGCGGCACAGGGTAGTTGGATGGAGTAGCGTGTCCAATAGCAATGATGTAGATAGAAATGGTATATGATCGACCGTCATCCCTTTATCTTTCTTCATTATACGTATTAACATCCCTTCTCTTCAACTTTACTCTCTTTCTTCATTTCTCAAATTGTGAGAACCATTACCCGACCCGTTTCATCTCCACGGTATGCTCTCTCTCCCTTTCTGCTTGTGTATGTGTACGGACTTATGAGCTTGTATGCGTAGGTGTATGGTGGATTCAGGTCTGGGTTTAGCATAACATTTGGGTTGAGTGTTGCAATTAGGGATTTGTTCTTCATTTCTGCCAAGCCCTTTGATTTGTGTTCTACGGTAACTTTGAGCCTCCTATAGTCCTATCGATTATTCACTTAGTATATGTCAATTTGTTGCTCATTTCTCTTCATAGCGTGCTGGAATTTTAACCCTGGATTCTTCTGCACTCACCTCTTTCTATTCTGCATTCATATCATGCAGATCTCTTGAAGGCAGGCATCTCATCATGGCGAGAGCTTTACTTCAGTCAACAAACATTTCTTCACTGGTTTCAGGTGAAGGCATCGGCCAATTTAAGCGATCTGGAAAAGGAGCAAGAGCTTCTGCAATGCCGTGTTCTTCAAATCCCTCACATTATTTGCAATTGCGAGGTGGTTTTGTTGGACTGAGAGGTGGCAATGCCTTAGACATGATAGGAAGATCGCGGGAGACATTTCATTCCAAGGTGGCCGCAGCACTCTCCTGCAGAAGAGGCAAGGGCACTCGTTCAGTAGTTAAGGCCATGTTTGAACGGTTCACAGAGAAGGCAATAAAGGTGATTATGCTCGCACAAGAGGAAGCTAGGCGTCTTGGACACAACTTTGTTGGGACCGAACAGATTCTCTTGGGCCTTATTGGCGAGGGAACTGGAATTGCTGCTAAGGTTCTTAAATCTATGGGTATAAATTTGAAAGATGCTCGTGTGGAGGTGGAAAAGATAATTGGAAGGGGAAGTGGTTTTGTTGCTGTTGAGATTCCTTTTACTCCCCGTGCAAAGCGTGTATTAGAGCTATCTCTCGAGGAAGCTCGCCAGCTAGGTGACCTTTCATACTTATGCATCTTTATATCTAATCATTTTTGTGAAAACTTTTGCTAGATTTAACCTGCCTAGATTTTGCCTAAATTTACTTAGATCCCCTCTAATCATCACCATCCCATCACACTTTTCCAAACTATGAAGGGTCAGTGACATGGAAACTTATAAACCGTTAATTATTTGTCTGAAATCAGTTTAACACTTTTATAAACTCATACAAGAGCATGTTATTAATGTCTTATGTTGATTGTCCTCCCACCTTATAATGAGTAGTAATTAGATGAAATTCCGAAAACATCAGTATAGTGTTTTAAACCCAATAGCTTGGAAATTATCATGAGACGGCAATGCTATAAGCTGAGATAGAGATGCTTGGGATGACTTCTTTAAAAGGCACAAGTACTTTATATAGGAAGGGAAGTACTTTTAGTCTGAAAAACATCCATTGATAATAAGTTCTTTCAATTCTAAAAAAACACTTCTGTGCTTATTAAAAAAGAACTAGATTGCAGATTTTAAAAAACTGCACTTTTAGTGCTCAATTGAGAAAAGCCCTTCTTATGAAACACCTTCAACATAAGTCATCTCAATCATGCTCATAGTTGCTAGAGATATAGCAAGTTCCTCCCATTAAAATATTTATATTGAGTCAATCAACATGCACATCATGGAACATAAAATACTTGTATCTCTTCTAACTTTGATTAATCTCTGACTAGGTGCCTCTATTGCTTTCTTCAGCATCACCATAAGGATCTCTATGTTGTTCTTTTATTATGTTAGCATTTTATGGTGAGAGGGAGACATTATGTCTAACCTCATTAGCTGTTTTTTAGGCCACAACTACATAGGGTCTGAGCACTTGCTCCTTGGGTTGCTTCGTGAGGGTGAAGGGGTGGCTGCTCGAGTTCTTGAAAACTTGGGTGCTGATCCAAGTAACATTCGAACACAGGCAAGGGATATTATATCATTATCATAATCAGTCTATGGTCTCTACTTTGTGTGTGGTTTTGGGCGAATTTTGTTGTTGTTCAATGTCTAACAAGTCTAATGCGATAAAAATATTATGTTTTTTGATAAATTAGGTCATCAGAATGGTTGGTGAAAGTGCAGAAGCTGTTGGTGCTGCTGTTGGAGGTGGAACTTCAGGACAAAAGATGCCGACATTAGAGGAGTACGGTACCAATTTGACGAAGCTAGCCGAGGAGGTATTTTGATGTTAAAAAAGTTCTCAACGTTGATAATTCTTGGAAGTTGGAATCATAGCTAGTAAGGCCCAAGGCTGTTAAAATTACAATATGAATTATAAAATCATGCTAAGTTACGAATCTCCCCTAATAAATGATTTCAAATCATACAAAATAGTAAATTCAAATCGTTGTACACTTGTGCAAAATAGTGTAAAATCACTGAAAATCGTAAAGAAATGAGGTACAATACTTCACTGGAAATGTCCGAATAAAATGATAATGCCTATGTGGTTCAGATAGATACTCACAATACTATAATAGCAATAAAAATAATGTCTTTCGTGAAAAGCATGTGTTTTTTAATTTAGAGTACATTAGGGAAGGAGAGAGAAGAAGACCCAAACAGACTTGGATTAGAGGAATCAGAACGAATATGCTTCTTCTTGGGTTGGCTGAGAGTATGCCTTTGGAAAGAGCAAAGTGGAGGGTGCATATTCGTGTGGAGTGTGGATGATTGATCTCTTTTATCTTCTTTATCTTTTATCTTTCTTATGCTCTTTTATCTTTTTATAATTTTCTTTCTTATGTTCTTATGATATTTTTATCTTAGATTAATCTTTATGTTATCCATTTTATCTTATCTTTTTTATATTTCTTATCTTTCTTCTCTTTTTTCCTCTTATATCATTGATCGATTCATGTTAGCTGACCCCAAAATCTTTTGGGAATAAGGCTCAGATGTTGTTGTTGTTGTTGTTGTAGGTTCTTAATGTTTTCGTGATTTACCCTATGGAAGTACTCCCTCCGCCCCCTATAATTGTCCTATTTTTCCATTTTTGGATGTCCCTCTGTTATTGTCCCATACCATATTTGGTAACATTTGTGTGGCTCTAATTCATTCTTACTTTATTCTCACTTTATGAACTCATTATCAACCACAGTTCTACTTTTCTTAAAAACCACAACACTCCCTTCCGTCCCAATATTAGGGGGACGGTGGTAGTAGTATGTAAAATGTCTTTATTATGTCATATATGTTGTTTTAAGTTATGAGTTGAGTTCTTAAAGGAATGTGATTAATTTTAAAAATAAGGTGCGAAGTCAAATATCACTCGAAAAATGGGGTGAAGTCCAATTCTCCCTTATTTTTACTTATTTTATTTTACATTGCCTATGGAATAGACATAAAAAGTTATATGGGTATCAAGTATCAACAATTATCTATATTAAGTTTATTGAGCTTTAGCCTAATTTTAATTTCCAGTACATTATCTTGTGTTTCCAGTTTTCATCTATGTATTTTTTCATATTATGTTTCCCTAGTATTTAAGTATTTTCTATTTTGTGGAATGCAAATGGACCATAAAAGTATCTAAGATGATCCTTTTTTGTATGTTATAAAGGGAAAACTGGATCCTGTAGTCGGAAGGCAGGAACAAATTGAGCGGGTAACTCAAATTTTGGGTAGACGTACAAAGAACAATCCTTGTCTTATTGGAGAACCAGGTGTTGGGAAAACAGCTATAGCTGAAGGTTTAGCTCAGCGAATTGCGACTGGTGATGTCCCTGAAACAATCGAGGGAAAGAAGGTACGCTCTTTGCTTTGTTTCCAAATGTGTGTCATTGTTGTAGTTAAACTCTCTGCCCAGGCACTGAGCTCTCTATGGGTATCTATGTTTTTCTTTTGCTTAATTCCACTGCAGTTCCCGTCTTTAGGCTTCATTTTTTGTTGGCTGGCTGGATTAAAATGCAAAACAGTAGTGCATGAATTACTCTATTTCTTCAATTTGTCATATGGCTGAAACAGACACTTGTTTCTTTATTTTTAGATAATATTTTCTTCAGTTTGTCTAAATATATGTTTTTAGATTCTAAAGTCTAAACTATTTAGGTATTTCATCCAGTGGTTATTTCTAACCTCACACTAGTCACAGGTGTATTTCTATAAGTGATGAACCTCGGAACTTTGTTTGCACTTTTTAAAATCTAAGGTGCTATTATGAACAAATGGACACTTGAGTACTCAGTACTACATATTTAGGGTTTTTTCAACAAATCATCTTCCTTTATGCTACACTCTATTTGTCACATAATAAGGCTGCCACTTGTTTATATCTCTATTTTGTACTAATGTCGACGCGCTTTTGATTTTCAAATGCATTCAAGTCTATTAATTAATTCCTAGGGAGATTTCCCAAAATAGGAGTAAACGGTTTTGGAATTCCAAAATAGGGCTGCTATGTTGTTCTTCCCGAAATAGGAGTAACATGGCAGTATTTATTGCCATCTTCTAGTCATTACTGCCAAATAGTTGTTATACAAGGCATTCAACACAACAATATTCATCGTCATGTATGGCAGTATTTTTCAATCAATGCAGTAACAACTCCTATTTCATGAAGAAAAACATAACAATCCTATTTTGGAATTCCAAAACCTATTTAGGGAAATTTCCCTTGATCATAATATGAGTAATAATAAACACTATCATTTTAAACTTCGCACCTTCATACACAAGACTTTCTACTTTTGGCACTGTATCATTTACCCTTCTTTATTTCCGGTAAACTGTAGGTTATTACGCTGGATATGGGCCTTCTTGTTGCCGGAACGAAGTATCGAGGAGAGTTTGAGGAAAGATTGAAGAAACTAATGGAAGAAATCAGACAGAGCGATGAGATCATACTGTTCATTGATGAAGTGCACACATTGATTGGTGCAGGGGCAGCTGAAGGCGCAATTGATGCAGCAAACATATTGAAACCTGCTCTAGCTCGAGGTGAACTTCAGGTCAGTAATATGTATTCCTTCCATCCCCACATTATGTTCTTATATGAACCCCACAATTTTTTTACGTACAGGGAAATGGGAAATATTTTTTATAGGAGTGAAAAAGGAAAGTGAAAAGCTAATTTGGGGCATAGGTGTATATAGTAAAGAGTAAAGATTAGGGCGCAACACTTTGAACTTCAATAATTTACTAACCTACAAACTCAATAATATACAACACTTTGAACTTCAATATGCAGTACAAATAATGTAAAGATGCACTCTTTGAATTTCAATATGCAATACAAATAATGTAAATATGAACCTGCTATTTTATGGCTTGAATAATATGAAACACTTTGAACTTCAATGTGCAATACAAATAATGTAAAGATGATTTGAATGGGAGGACTAGTTTGTATGTGATCCCACCCCTGCATCTTTATATTTTTTTTACTGCATATTGAAGTTCAAAGTGATGCATATTATTGAGTTTGTAGGTTAGTATTTTAAGCACGGTTTGTATTTGATCTATCTATCTATCTATCTATCTATCTATCTATCTATCTATCTATCTATCTATCTATCTATCTATCTATCTATCTATCTATCTATCTATCTATCTATCTATCTATCTATCTATCTATCTATCTATCTATCTATCTATCTATCTATCTATCTATCTATCTATCTATCTATCTATCTATCTATCTATCTATCTATCTATCTATCTATCTATCTATCTATCTATCTATCTATCTATCTATCTATCTATCTATCTATCTATCTATCTATCTATCTATCTATCTATCTATCTATCTATCTATCTATCTATCTATCTATCTATCTATCTATCTATCTATCTATCTATCTATCTATCTATCTATCTATCTATCTATCTATCTATCTATCTATCTATCTATCTATCTATCTATCTATCTATCTATCTATCTATCTATCTATCTATCTATCTATCTATCTATCTATCTATCTATCTATCTATCTATCTATCTATCTATCTATCTATCTATCTATCTATCTATCTATCTATCTATCTATCTATCTATCTATCTATCTATCTATCTATCTATCTATCTATCTATCTATCTATCTATCTATCTATCTATCTATCTATCTATCTATCTATCTATCTATCTATCTATCTATCTATCTATCTATCTATCTATCTATCTATCTATCTATCTATCTATCTATCTATCTATCTATCTATCTATCTATCTATCTATCTATCTATCTATCTATCTATCTATCTATCTATCTATCTATCTATCTATCTATCTATCTATCTATCTATCTATCTATCTATCTATCTATCTATCTATCTATCTATCTATCTATCTATCTATCTATCTATCTATCTATCTATCTATCTATCTATCTATCTATCTATCTATCTATCTATCTATCTATCTATCTATCTATCTATCTATCTATCTATCTATCTATCTATCTATCTATCTATCTATCTATCTATCTATCTATCTATCTATCTATCTATCTATCTATCTATCTATCTATCTATCTATCTATCTATCTATCTATCTATCTATCTATCTATCTATCTATCTATCTATCTATCTATCTATCTATCTATCTATCTATCTATCTATCTATCTATCTATCTATCTATCTATCTATCTATCTATCTATCTATCTATCTATCTATCTATCTATCTATCTATCTATCTATCTATCTATCTATCTATCTATCTATCTATCTATCTATCTATCTATCTATCTATCTATCTATCTATCTATCTATCTATCTATCTATCTATCTATCTATCTATCTATCTATCTATCTATCTATCTATCTATCTATCTATCTATCTATCTATCTATCTATCTATCTATCTATCTATCTATCTATCTATCTATCTATCTATCTATCTATCTATCTATCTATCTATCTATCTATCTATCTATCTATCTATCTATCTATCTATCTATCTATCTATCTATCTATCTATCTATCTATCTATCTATCTATCTATCTATCTATCTATCTATCTATCTATCTATCTATCTATCTATCTATCTATCTATCTATCTATCTATCTATCTATCTATCTATCTATCTATCTATCTATCTATCTATCTATCTATCTATCTATCTATCTATCTATCTATCTATCTATCTATCTATCTATCTATCTATCTATCTATCTATCTATCTATCTATCTATCTATCTATCTATCTATCTATCTATCTATCTATCTATCTATCTATCTATCTATCTATCTATCTATCTATCTATCTATCTATCTATCTATCTATCTATCTATCTATCTATCTATCTATCTATCTATCTATCTATCTATCTATCTATCTATCTATCTATCTATCTATCTATCTATCTATCTATCTATCTATCTATCTATCTATCTATCTATCTATCTATCTATCTATCTATCTATCTATCTATCTATCTATCTATCTATCTATCTATCTATCTATCTATCTATCTATCTATCTATCTATCTATCTATCTATCTATCTATCTATCTATCTATCTATCTATCTATCTATCTATCTATCTATCTATCTATCTATCTATCTATCTATCTATCTATCTATCTATCTATCTATCTATCTATCTATCTATCTATCTATCTATCTATCTATCTATCTATCTATCTATCTATCTATCTATCTATCTATCTATCTACCTACCTACCTACCTACCTACCTACCTACCTACCTACGGGGTGGGAATATCTCACCCAACCCCGCCCCATCCTTCCTCAGCGGCTCCCCGCTCCCATTGCCATCCTTAGACATACTCCGTATGTTTTTAACTGAACTTTACAAAGGAAAAGCGAAACACAAGAAAATATTATTTTATTGACATTTTTTCCCTTCCCCATTTCACAGTAGTCAAACATGCCTTAGATGTAAGGATGTTTTATCCACAATAAAAAGAAGTTTTTGTAGCATACTTCTCATCCACATTCATAACTATAACAGTGCATAGGAGCTACAACACTTGATGAATACCGGAAACATATTGAGAAGGATCCGGCATTGGAGAGAAGATTTCAACCAGTTAAGGTTCCAGAACCAACTGTGGATGAAACCATACAGATACTGAAAGGTCTTAGGGAGCGTTATGAAATCCATCACAAACTCCGCTATACCGATGAGGCACTGGTTGCCGCTGCACAACTCTCGTACCAGTACATCAGGTATTATGTTGTTTATCCTTTTCTATTATTTAATTTTTCAACAGGAAATTTTGAAGAAACCTTTTCATTAAAAAAAAATACTCCCTTCTAGTTTTCTAATTCCAGTAGGTTTTTCACAAGGGCAAGTCTAGAGGTAGTAAATAATGTAGAAAAGGTAAAAATTTAGGACAGAAAGAGAAGCATGACAAGTTGGATAGAAAAGATGAATAGAAAGAGGATTTATGTCATTTAAGAATTATAAAGTAGGAAAAATTGCCAAAATTGAATCTTGAGCAAGCAATAATAAACTTCCATAAACTGATAAAAGGAAAGTGAAGCAAGTAAAAGGGAACAAAGGGACTATGATGTGCTCAAAAGCATTTTATATATTTATTTACTTGTTTATGTTATTATAAAGTTTAAGAAGTCTAAGCATGTGTATATCTTTTTAAAACATTATGCATGTTTCATTTTTCTTTGCATTTTACAAGGTAAAAGCAAAAAACAAGAAAATAACTCAGTATTTCTGTTTTCTCTTTTCCCTGACAATTTTTACTATTCCAAACAGATTCAGACTCATAGGGATATAACTGGATTCCCCCCCCCCCCCCCCCCCCCCCCTCTCTCCACCTCTGCTCTCTTTTTGTTTAAACTTTTGTTCATTTGATAAAACTATCTGCTTTACAGTGATCGCTTTCTGCCTGATAAGGCAATTGACTTGGTTGATGAGGCTGGTTCTCGTGTTAGACTTCGCCATGCACAGGTATGGATATATTCTCTAAGATGTCCTTGCTTCTGTCTATGTTTAGTTGTCAATGACTTTGCCTTTCTGCTGTAGCTACCGGAGGAGGCAAGAGAACTCGAGAAAGAACTAAGGCAGATAACGAAGGAGAAGAATGAAGCTGTACGCAGTCAAGATTTTGAGAAGGTACGTTTATGTTTAAATCTTAGGCCCCGTTTGTTTAAAAAACATGCTCATTTTGAAAGAGGGAAGTCATTTTCTAGGAAACAAGCGGAGCCTTGGTTGTTCTCCATTAACATTTAACAGAATATGCTTCTTTTTATGACACACTGTTGGTGACCACCATACTTTTACTTTGGCTTAGGCTGGGGAGTTACGTGATAGAGAAATGGATCTAAAGGCACAAATCTCGGCCATGATAGACAAAAACAAAGAGAAAAGCAAAGCTGAAAGCGAGGCAGGAGACGAAGGCCCAGTTGTGACCGAAGCTGATATTCAGCACATTGTCTCGTCATGGACGGGCATCCCTGTCGAGAAAGTCTCAACCGATGAATCTGACCGTCTCCTAAAAATGGAAGAAACACTACACACAAGAGTCGTCGGTCAGGATGAAGCGGTGAAGGCCATCAGTCGAGCCATCCGACGTGCCCGTGTCGGGCTCAAGAACCCGAACCGGCCCATAGCTAGCTTCATCTTCTCTGGCCCCACCGGTGTTGGGAAGTCTGAACTTGCCAAAGCGTTAGCTGCCTACTACTTCGGGTCTGAGGAAGCCATGATCCGGCTGGACATGAGCGAGTTTATGGAACGACACACAGTCTCGAAGCTCATCGGCTCCCCGCCGGGATATGTCGGTTACACAGAGGGTGGTCAGCTGACTGAAGCTGTCAGGCGCCGACCGTACACCGTCGTCCTCTTTGATGAAATTGAGAAGGCCCACCCTGATGTCTTCAACATGATGCTTCAGATCCTGGAGGATGGAAGGCTGACGGACAGCAAGGGCCGGACGGTCGACTTCAAGAATACGCTCCTCATCATGACGTCAAATGTTGGGAGCAGTGTGATAGAGAAGGGTGGCCGTCGGATCGGTTTTGATCTGACGTACGATGAGAAGGACAGCTCTTACAACCGAATCAAGAGTCTTGTGACTGAGGAACTCAAGCAGTACTTCCGGCCTGAGTTCTTGAACCGGTTGGATGAGATGATCGTTTTCCGGCAACTGACGAAGCTAGAGGTGAAGGAGATAGCGGATATCATGCTCAAGGAGGTGTTTGAGAGGCTTAGGGTTAAGGAGATAGAGCTGCAGGTGACAGAGAGGTTTAGGGATAGAGTGGTGGAGGAGGGGTATAATCCGAGTTATGGGGCAAGGCCGTTAAGAAGAGCTATAATGAGACTTTTGGAGGACAGTATGGCAGAGAAGATGCTTTCGCGGGAGATCAAAGAAGGGGATTCAATTATAGTGGATGTTGATTCCGATGGGAATGTGACTGTCCTTAATGGAAGCAGCGGTACTCCTCCAGAGCCACTGCCTGAACCAATTGCTGTATAAAGGATAAAACCTGCCTCCCTGAATCCTCTTTTCTTCTTTTTTTCTTCTTTAAATTGTCAGTATTTTCATGATTGTCGTAGGGTGTCCTGGGTATAGCCAGAACTGTATTGATTGCAGTCAGTCTGTTGTATAATTACGTGTTTAATTTGCATGTAGAACAATACCCACTTGTTTAATTGTATGTTGCATAAAGGAAAAAAAAACAGAAGAATTTGGTCCCACGTGTAACGTACCCACCCTGCTTTTCCTAGATCCTTGTGCCTACCAAGTTAAAGTTTATTTTAGGAAAACTAGCTCTTGCACTATAGTGAAAATGGTGATTAGGCTAGGGGTGGACTGGGTCCGAGCGGCCTGACTTGGGACCGGTACTGTTGGTACTGCCTCAGGCTCGTTTTCCCGGTACTGGTCCGGTACCCGGACTGGAGTGGAATTGGGGTGGGCTTTGGGCTTGGATTTTGGTGACCGGATTGGTTGGGCTCAGGTCGGGGCAAACGGGTATATTTTTTTTTAAATAAATGGGTTGGGGGTAGTTGGTTGGCATGTAGCCGAACGGTTATATGACCGTTAGTAGACATGGACTCGGGCCGGGTTGGGCTTGGTCGGGCCGCCGGTTTTTAACTCATGGACCCGGGACCGGCCCGAGGTTTGGACGGGTCCGCTTCGGGCTGGGCCACCTGCTCGGGTCACGGGTCGGGTCACCTGTCGGGCCGGGCCGGTTAAATTCATTTTTTTAATATAATTTATACTTTATAGTTTTATACAAGTATTAAAAACAAACTTCAAGTGCATTTATTTGAAATGAAATAGGAACTACATTTGAAAATTAAGAGAAACATATAATATGAAATACATTTTTCAAATTGTAATCAATCGGAACTTCTCGCTCCCGATCCTTTGGCTCTGTCACATGACTTAATATGCTTCATTGCCATCCCGTATCCGCTTGAAACCCTCATGCTTCATTTTTTCCTGCACCATTTGCAAGTTGCGTACCACATCCCGGTCCTCGGGTCCTTCTGCTTATCAAAATTATACCGTATAATGGAATATTGACTTTCCATCTTAAAAATGGTAGATATAATAATTCTAAAATAGATGGAGATGAAGATGGAGAACGGAGATTAGAGATTGGATGTTGGAGAAGATGTGTATACAAATGTTAGAAAATAAGAGTATTTATAGAATTTTTTGTACCCCCACCCCCACCCACCCCCACCCCCCACCCCCAAACGGCTCTATGCCTCTATTGATTCAAATTTCAAACAACCAAACTACCAAAGTGGCTATATAGCTGTTTGTGGCTTTTGATTTCAATTTTTTTTGTATGTTTTAGTTTGAATAAATTAGATAATGTAAAATTAATTAATTAATTTTATGCATTCAGTAAAAAATGCTACATATAAAAAAATGAGCGTATATTTATTTGAAATATGAACTACAAGTTTACAAGTTATAATTGAGAATTGAAGGTAAAATTAAAACATGAAATTCTAATCAATCGGAATCTCCGACATAGGTAGAGCCACCCTCGGTTGTAGATTCATCCATAAAGTGTTGGGATGGGGTGATATCAATTTCTTGAGCTCTACGGGCCGCTTTCAACCAATCGTGGTAGCATATAAGCATCTCAAGAGATTCTATGCTCAATCTCATTCTACATTGCGTTAGGACATTGCCGGCCGAACTACATTCTTGTTCCACGACAACTGTTGAAACCGGCATTGATAGCACTTGCTTAGCCATCCGCCGCCTAATTTTGCATACTCCACCGGGTGTTTGGACTTAAGATGTCTTGTGGCAGATCCGTATCCGCCGGAAATCCCAAGCTATAGTTGTTCTTGCACCAATTATAAGTTACAGTCCAATTCCCTGTGTTCGGGCCCTTCCACTTAGAAAAATTATTAGCCATTAGTTCAGATTTACTTTTTTTCGTACCGGTTTGGGATGAGGTAGGCTCGTCGGCGTCGTGGCTGCCGCCACCCTCCTCCTCCTCGTCGTCGTCGTGGCTCTCCGGAATTACTTCCTCCACATCGTCGTCCTCGAACTCTTCTTCGTCAATGGTCCTCGGTTGGTCTTGAAAAAAACGGCTATTATGTCGGTGCAATTCTTGTTCTAGTTGTTCGTCGGTCATCGCATCCCCATTCCTCCTTGCGTAACCCGTATCAAAATCATCTCGACTTTGAGATGAAGAGCCGATATGTGATTTACCTTTGCGGGATCTCTTCCTCGCAAGCTCTTTCGTTCGGTTGCGCTCGAGGTTACCCATATCAACCGAATATCTAGGACGATCCATCTAAAAAATGTAACAAATATTAAATTGCAACAAATATATTACTAAGAATAATTAAAACTATTTTAAATAAGACTTCAATCTAACTAAAAAATAAATAAAAAATAAATAAAAAAATAATAATAAAAAAACAAAAAAAAAGACAAAAAAAAAAGACTTCAATCTAACTATTAATTCGAGTTATAGCAAATTACTATTTTAAAGTTTACTTTAATCAAATTACTAGTAATTAAATAATACTTTAATTCGAGTGAAATGTGAAGTAAAAAATGTGAATTGAACCAAAATTTATAGCAATACTATTGTTTAATAAATAGTCAAATTAACTAGTGAATTAACTAGTTTTGTGTACAACCTATTTTTTTACTAACAATCAAATTAATATACTTTAACTTTAACTATAATGAGAATTAACTAGTTTTTTAAACTAGAGTCAAAGGTAGCAATTAATAAAAAAATGTAATAAAGTAATTAACTACTTTAATGAAAAATTAAACAATTCATGTGAAAACTAATTAACTAATCAACTAGTTTTTTGTACTACCTATTTTTTTTACTAACAATCAAATTATTATAGTTTAACTTTAACTATAATGAGAATTAACTAGTTTTTTTTTCAAGTAATGTTAATACAAAATTAAACAAGTGTAAATAATAGAATGATTTCGTACCTCTTTCGGACTTCCGATCTTTCGGATGGGAGTAATAAAATGACTTCAAATTAATTAGATATAATTCCAACTATATTAATAGATATAATAAATGTATAAGTAATATATAATTAGATAAGAAATATAAGTAATATAATGTATGTATTTATAAATTATAAGTAGATAATTAATATAAAGTAGATATATAAATATAATATATTGGAGAATAAGAGAATTAGAGAGTAGAGGGTTAAGAGTAGGATTTAGGAAGAATTGGAGAAGAGATATGGAAAAATGTTTAAGATTAGGAGTATTTATCGGTTTTTTTACCCCACCCCCACCCCACCCCCAAACCCCCCGGACCCCCCTGCAGCCCACCCCAACGGTCATGTTTGGCTCAAAAGTTTTTTTTTTTTAAAATATAGCCGTTGTGACCCGGACCCGGGCTCGACCCGGCCGGGCCGGGTCACATTTTGCATGAACCGAACCCGCCCCCGCTTCCCCCACCGGTTCGGGTCCACACCCGGTCCCGGACCGCCAGACCGGGCCGGTCCCGGTCCCGCACAGTAGCGGGCCGGGCTGGGTCACGGGCCGGGTGGCCCGAACCGAGTCCATCAATAACCGTTAGGGGATGGGCACAAAAAAAATTATAAACACACTTACTTTCTAAACATTTTCTTACACCTATTCTCCAATTCTCTCTACCTATATTATAGTAGTATACTTATACATTATATACTATTAACATTATATTACATATTAGTTACTTTAAGTATACTTTATAGTTTATACATTTATTCTATTAGTTACATTTTCATTAATTAATACTCCCTCCGTTCTTTATTAACTGTCTCGTATTTCTTTTTAGGACATTTTTAATTATTTGTGTCTCTTTCCTTTTTTGGTAAGTTTTTTCAATCAAAATACCTTTATACCCCCCCACTTTAATTACCATTACCCCTTTCTCTTTCTTTTTTTTCCTTTACCCACAACCCACTACACCTTTTACACTATCCCTATTATTTTCCTCTTAAAACCCGTGCCAAAGCCTAAGAGGACAGATAATAAAGAACAGAGGGAGTATACATTAGTAAATTTATCCCATTAGATACATTTTCATTAATATTAGTTATACATTTATCCTATTAGTTACATTTATCCTCTTAGTTATGAAATTTATTTATCTTATAAATTATATATATCAAACTCCGACATGAGATCATTTTTTGATATCATGTCTGTTCCAAGCCAGGATAAAGGATGATGGTGTTGTGATAGGTGCATGACAGTAAACAGTATCACTTAGTCACATCACATGACATGAATCGAAATATCAATATCGCTACAGCTAGGTCGGTGTCAAATGTGCAAGGGCGCGCTACATTTCATAGACTGTTAAGAGTGTTAAGGCTGCTAGGTCGTCTTCCGGAAGCGACGTGCCACTCCAATGCTCGGGGATGGTAAAAGGGTAGACAAAGATAAAGTGGTGGAGGCTTGAGGAGAATCTCCAACAAATTTTTGCACACAAAATGTAGGAGGAAGATGTATGGTCTATTGATAATGACGCACATGTGGATAAAGATGTGAAGCAAGCCAGAGGATAAGTGAACAGGGAATTGTATGTAAAATTTGACTCTAAGAAAGGAGAAAAAGATATATAAAACTTGTTCGCCTTCATGACCGTAGGACTCAAGATACCTGAAAAGTTAAGTGTGTGAAGGATGTCAATCAAAGGGTACTAATGGAGGACGGGGAAATAAAGGAGAGGTGGAGGTCATACTTTGATACCTTATTCAACAGGAATAAAGTGCAAGGTATTGATGATCTTACTATACCAGAGTGTATGGTACATCGGGACTTCGTGAGAAGGATCCAAATAACAGAAGTTAAAGAGGCTAAGAGAAAGATGAGGCGGAAGAAAGCAGTGAGCCCAGATGGCATACCGATCAAGGCTTGGAGAAGTTTGGGAGAGAAAGGCATTAAGTGGCTAACCCGTTTCTTCAACATGATTTCGAGAAACAACACAATGCCAATGAGTTGGAGGAAGAGTACTCTCATTCCCATATTTAAAAATAAGGGTGATGTACAAGAGTGTGCCAACTATCGAGGGATTAAGCTTATGAGTCACAAAATGAAACTTTGGGAGCAAGTGGTAGAGCAAAGACTTCATTAAACTGTGAAAATTTCGGAGAATCAATTTGGTTTTATGCCTGGACGCTCGACAACTGAGGCCATTCACCTTCTTAGACAGGTTGTGGAGAAGTATATAGAGACACTAAAAAAGATTTGCATTTGGTGTTCATTGACTTAGAAAAGGCAAATGATAGGGAACCTTGAGAAGTCCTTTGGTGGGCC